GAGAAATAGGTTTTCTAATTTAGAAGCAAATTTGCTTTCATCCAGGGTTGTTTGGTTTTTTTTGCTATATGCACAGTGGATTTGCTGTTAGCAATTTTTATAATCCTTCCTTAGCAAAATGGCCCTAACAAGATAATTCATATCCACACAGCTCCATTTTCTCTGGTATCTACAGCCTCTCTAGATTCCCACTATCCCTGCAATTTTAAGTGGGGAAAAAGAGCCTAATCCAAATCTAAGTGATCCATTCATTTGACCTGCAGCACAAAGCAAACACAGCCCAGTCTCACCTGCCCAAGGGCATAATGTCATTGAACATCAGTAGTAACTTGGAGTGGGACTGTCATTGAGTGCCATTTCCCTGTGGCAGCAGAGTCTTGAAGAAGCTCTTGAGGAAGTGGTACCCAGCAGAAACACCAGCCTTTGGCTGACTGGATTTGTCAAGTGGCTCAGTTCACTCCTGCACCACCATCTAATGGGATTCAACACTGCACTCGACTATGCTCTGGTGCTTGGATGGGAAGGAAGGCAGAAAAGGAGACATTAATAATGCACTGAGGCATCCTTGTCAGATCTCAGGCTGTTTGCTCCCAATTTGCATATGCTCCAAGTTGTAAGAGAACACTTTGCACAGCAGTGTTGCATTTAGTAGAAATTACATTATAATTTCAGATGTGGAAACTTGTATTCCAGGTCTGAGGCAATGAGATGTCCCATTGGGCTGTGCAGTCATTATCTCAAACAATTGAAATGCATGCTTGCACTTCATCAAAATCAAGGAAAGATGTTACTCCAGCCTCCACTTGCCAATTCAACCCAAAGTGGAACAAGAATATTTAACTCAATTAGAAACTATATTATTTCCCAATAATTTCTTTGTGAGAAGGAGTTTGGTGAGTAATTTTTCAGGGTGTGCCTATTTGAGCCAACACCTCTAGCTATCCCTGTAAAGCAAACTCTCCCCCAAAAAAAACCCTTTTCCCAGGAAGGGAATGTACAGGTGCATTTAGGATGTCTACTTACACTTTTCTTCCAGCTCCTTCATGCTGGAGCTGGCAAAGGGTGGTACCACAGCCATTTATTTCCCTGCCCTGATTTCTGCCAGGGGCTGGCTAGAGCTGGGAAGCAGAGGCTGCAGGGATAGAGTTTGCCTTTCTCTGCTTCCAGCAGTGTGGCCTATCAGAGATCGGAGATCAGTGAGAACTTTAGCTTGAAGCATCCCTTTCTGTTAGAATGTTTCCATTGCAGAATTTGATATTTTGGGTACCCCACAGGAAGAGTAAGCATCAGTGCATAAATAGCCACTGAGACCTTCCTGCAAATCAGTGTTAAGCTTCTGCCACCTTTTTGTTTGCAAGGTGATAAAATACTGCTATTAAGTAGCCAGAGGATGGCAGC